TAATGCTCTTTGGTATAAATAGCTTAATCTAAGATGATCCAGATGCAACGCTATTTATTATAAGAATCAGTATAAGAATTTCATCTAATATTGTATATGTATATTTAACTGTTTTATTATTCGAACGTTTATATTGTCCTCAGTAGTTCGGATAATCGAGACTTTACTGTAATTCCAGAAGATCATGGGTTACACTCGAAAGTCTTAACAGTATTAACTGTAGGTTTAACCGAAAGGTCATTTAGAATCGACCGGTCTGAGAATAGAACTGATCGAAGAGTAAAAAAATAGCAAGAATTTTCAGAGATTGGCCGTGATGACCTGCATGAAAAGTCACCTTCGACACATTGATTCGAGTAACCCTAAATCTAGAAGGTGACAATATTTCCCACCTAACTGTTAAGCAACTCGTTTGTATGTAGAATCAGAATTATGGCAGTTATCAAAATTTTGCGTATCTCGATGCACTATACCATGATTTACATATACATATATGCACAATATTTTCACAAGAGACAAAATAATTTAAACAGTTGAAGATTATTAACATATATTACGTTTCCATTTATTATTTTATATCAGACGTAAACGAGGGGATTTTCATAATGTAGAATAATGTATTTCATTGTAAAAGATTTTTGAACAATTATTTTCACTATTCTACACATGTAAATCATACCGCAACAAGAATGCGGGGTGCACAATTTAATTTTTCTTTGTTTTGGAAAATGTTATTGTGTAGTAACAAAAGGATTACAAAATAATTCTGTAGGTAAAAGGTGATATTAACACCACAATTTTTTATTTTTTATTTTTTGTAAATATCTGTAACTGAACAATGTTTCTTCCATGTGTAGATGAAAATTTAGGGAGCATACTAAATATGTTACGTCATCTTTTTCCAATAACTTTTCATGTTAATAAATAACAAAATTTATTTTCTGTACCAATTTAATTATATGTATAGTTGAATATTTTAATTCTGATATTAACACCAAGTTACCGAATTAAATCATCGTTTTTGTTCCTAAGTGAGTGACTAAAGCAATCATATAATTAAAAATATCTATTATACATGTATAATA